TTTTTTCCCAGAATTGGAGACTGCCTTCACCCAGGAGACATCTAGTCCATCTTCATTACGGAATGAAAATGGTATCGATGTGGAGCCAGCTGAGGAGCCCGTTATTAAAAAACCTCGAAGGAAGACAAAGTAAGGATTTATTTGTTCTTCTAAATATCCTTAAGGAACACTCTGATGCTTAATTTGGAGCTTCCAAATGATAGCTTCCGATGAAATCTGATAAATACTTGTATATCTCTAAGATAAGTAGTATTACAAAGATATCAGTTAAACCAATCTAATGACAATTAGAAAAGTGTAGACCACTGAGAAAAGTAAAATGCTGTACTTGAATAAAAATTTTTAGGAACTGTCTCTAAAAAAGAGAAACACGAGTAGATGATTTTATATAAATAGCAAAATATTACATATTCAAGATCTTAAAAATTAAAGGTAATATTAATAAAATAGGCTATTGTAATTTATTTTCTCATTTTATCAAACTTTAAATTTTGATTATTTCAGCAATAAATAATAATGTTTAATTTAGCATAGGATTCTGTGTTAGATAAAATAGAATGACATACTTTAAAGAAGCACCCTGAAATTATATAACACTATTACATATTTGTGTTTAGACATGACCCTATAAATAGTAATCAATGTCCATATAAAATGATATAATTTTAAGTCTGGAAAGAACCTTACAATCTAGTTCAGTCATTTCATTGCCCGGAGGATAAAACTGAGGCCTACATAGCAGTTAATAACTGATTTGTTTTGAGTAAAATCCAAATTTCTCTGCTCAAAGTCCAGGGCTCTTTTCATTCTACTCACAGGTACCTCCTTATGTGGGTTTGTAAAAATTCAGTAAGCACCCAGTTTTCTTACTTTCTCCCTGATTCCAGGAAGGCCCGGCCAGCAGAATTGCAGTATGCCAATGAGCTAGGAGTAGAAGATGAAGACATAATTACTGATGAGCGCAGGAGTCCAGAACAACAGTCTGTATTCACTGCGCCCACTGGCATTAGCCAGCCTGTGGACAAAGTGTTTGTGGAAAAAAGCCGTAAGTAGTTCCTTGTTTGGAATATGAGCTCTTTAAAAGTATGCAAGGCTATCCTTTGACCTAGGAATTATACTTCTGGACATCTGAACTAAGGCAATAAGCAAAAACATGGACAAAAATGTATACACCAAGCTAATCATCACACTGTTATTCACGAGAGCAAAAAACAGGAAATAACCTAAATATAAAAAGAGCAGGGGAATGATTTCAGTAAGGTATGCTTTATCTATACAATAAAATCTGCATCATTAAAAATAGTGTTTAGGGAGAATTTTACATTTCGTGGAAAAATTCTAATGAAAAATAAACATACGTACACAGATAGTTTGATCTCAACTATAGCACGCACAGGACAAAAGACTAGAAGGAAATAGACCTGGTTGTTTCTGGGTTATGAGATTTTGGATAATTTTTTAAATCTCCCCTTACCCTCCACCCATTTCTTTATTCTTTGTTGGACTTCACCAGTTTTCTGCAATTGGTAGAGGTGTTGGTGGTAGGGCAGGTAATGATATAAATTCTTTAATGAAGAATAAATGAGAGAACATACATGATGGTATTACCATATTACATAAGATATATATTATAACTGTATATTCTTTTGGAAATAGTTCTGATGAACTGGTTACAAGACTGCATTTGCAGTGTTTTAAGAAAAACTTACTGAGAGCATGGTCATGACCATATGCTCCTCCCACGGATATGCTGTCAATGTGCTGCCTAAGAACTCGTCTGGAACATAAAGACTAGCCCTTAAAATTTACAGCTTAGGTTTTATGTACGTTGTTTAAACTGTGGTTGTGTAATACCCCATCTAAGGGACCTTCGCCAGCGAGAAACCTGTGGCCTGGAGAGACTGACTTATCCAGGGTCTCACAGTCCGTTAGTGCAGGACTGGGACTCAGAGTCTCATGTCTTCCAGGCAAGTGCTGTTACAGGTAGACCTGTGGCTGTTTAACACACTGCAGGCTATTTTCAAGCAGTGTCACTCCGTTTTTATTCTTGCTTCCCTTAGCACAGAAACTTCCCTAATAGAGTAACTGACTGTAAAAAATACTAGTTTCTGTCCAAAAGTTGTCTTTTCTTAGGAAAAATTAGGTGATAAACCCCTGACTTTTGTTCTCCAACGTACCCGGCAGCCAGGTTTGGCGAGCAAGACTATGGTGGAATCTCTCCTGCTGCCTGAGGTCCATTGTGACTGAGGAGGGACCTCCTGGTCAACAGTAAAGGGATAGAGCTCTGCTCACACAGTGCACACAGTGCTGCAGGCTGGCGCTTGAACTGGTACTTGCACAGGAATCTTCCTAGACGTTTATGAAACAATCCATTTCTTTCCTGTCATCACAGAGCATGTGCCATGCTACATACACTGGGGTCTTTTCCTGAGAAATGTAAAGGGTTTTCAGATAGTGGCGTACCTCTATAGTGTTGACATTTAAACTTTAGCACTTCTAAAATCTCTAAATGAGAAGATATTAGACGCTGTCATCTTAAAGGTTTCTAGACTTTTTTTCTTAGTTGGAAGTTCATTATTTTATTTCATTAAAAATAGTCAAGGGGGTTAATGGGGGGGATAAGGACACATTTGTAATACCTTAACTAATAAAGAATTTAAAAAAATAGTCAATTTCCTAAACTGTTACTTCAACATCTATTTTGGTTTGAGAAGGAAGCACATGGACACGCTTGTTCTAAAGGTTCTTAAGGGTGGAATAGTTTTTAAAAAGACCGGCAGGTTCTCTCTTGTTGGTGGCTAACTGTGTAATGTGCTCTTAGGGCGATTCCAGGCCACTGACCGTTCAGAGTTGATAAAGACCACAGAGAACGCAGACGTGTCGATGGACACGAAGCCCTCCTGGACGACCAGGGACGTCGCCCTCTCGGTGCACAGGGCTTTCAGGTGGCTGCCGTTGTTGGACTTTTCTTAAAACAAATATTCTATAATTTTTTTTAAAAGTGTTGATTGCCCTAACCGGTTTGGCTCAGTGGATAGATGACAACTTTCAAAATAGAATTGTTTTGACTTCTTTAGGCCAGTCTGTTATTTGCTGGAGGGAGTTGGAGGTGGGAATACTGTGGGGGGGGAGAAAACAACACCCAAAAGTCTTAACTCATTTCGGCATCACTCTAAGTCTAAAATTTCTTTCAAATATAATCAATTCAAAAAGTCCAAAATATAATCTTCCAAATACTTTTAATCAGCTATAGAAGAGAGTCTGGGTATTCCATCAGTTTACTGGGGTTACTATAGCAAAGTACAACAAACTGGGTGGCTTAAAACAATAGGAATTGTTGCTCTCACATTCTGGAAGCGAGGAGTCTGAACTCAGGGTGTCGGCAAGGTTGGCTCCCTTTTGGAGGGCTCCAAGGGAGAGCCTGTCCCATGCCTCTCCCAGCTTCCGGTGCTGCTGGCCATCCCAGGTTCCCAGGCTTGTAGACTCATCACTCCAGTCTCTGCCTCTGTTGTCACATGGCAGGCTTTCTGAGTGTCTCCGTGCCTGTGTCTCTTCTTTTAAGGTCACCAGTCACGTTGGATTACGGTCCATTCTGATGGCCTCATCTTAACTTGATCACGGCTGCAAAGACCCTATTTCCTTAAAGCTTAACAAGAGACAATAAACGTGGAGGCATTAGAACAGAGAAGGGAAAACGCTAGTCACATTTTGTAAGAAGGTTATGGTTGCACTGTGACAAGAGACTTTTGTATTTTCTAGGATTGACTTTGCCAAAACATCAGTAGCAATCCGAAATTTTCTTGCCCTGGATCCAACAGCTTTTGCATCTTTCTGTGAGTAAATAGTTTAATTTGATAACTGTGTTATACTTGAGTTACATTGTAATTTTGAACAAGGAAAAGTTTAATTTTATTTTTTAAAAGATTTTATGTTATTGCTACCGATAAGCATTACTTATAGATGTTCAGTAGAATTTGTAATTTAAAAAACATGGTAACCATAATTTTGATAACATTATTTTTCAGTAGAAGTTGAGCTTAGTAACTTTCAAAAGTTTAATTTGTTCTTATTAAGTAATGTTTAGCTTTCCTATTTTTACTTGACATTAAACAGATTGAGCTGGCATAGCATTTCAGGAACAAATGATATCTTTGGATAATTTGGAATACATTTTGTTCTGTTATGAAAATATTAACGAAACTAGTCTTAGGACCTTGAGTCAGTTATTTAATTTATTAAAAGATCTTCTAGGTTCTAGTCATTTCTAAAGATAAAATAGTGAGCATCACAAAAGTATCTGTGTTCTTAAAAAATAATCCAGCCTATTGAAATTGATCAAATGAATTTCTTTTATATTGTCATTCCCTAAAGTACAATTACTTTTGGCCTTAAAGTAATCTATAAATTAAAAATAAACTTGACTGTTAAAAGTACATTATTAGTAATTTCATTTATCTTTTTCTCAGTGTACTTCGCTGCTCTTGTACTATCTCTGAGTCAGCAAATGACAAGTGACAGAATCCACCTTTACACACCTTCTTCTGTTAATGGCAGCCTCTGGTAAGATTCAAATGGCATTCGCAATTATTGGTGGTAATAACAGCGACAGTGGGAGTAATGGCACTATTCTAAGCCTTCCACTCTTTTACATGTTTTTGTCTTCAAAATTGTGGCAAGAAAATGCCCATTTCATTTTTTAATGGATACCTATTGTTACAAACACCTGCATTTTTAATGAAATGTCTTCTTTTTATGATCTGTTTTAAATCTCTTAAGTTATGGTTTTAAAAGATGTCATTACATGATGAACTGGAAGAGCCTGGCACCCTCACCCCCAATCTGGAGCCTAATACCTCAGAATAGTGATGGGAGGGAGTAGCCGGGATCGAGTCGGAAAACCAAGCAATGGGGAGAGCAGACTAGGGCGCGCCACCCTCCTCGGGCCAGTGGCCAACCATGGAGCTAACAGGACAACTGAGATTTTAGTTCACAAATCTCAGAGTGGGGGGTCTTTTTTTGAAAGAGTGGCTAGAGGCATGAGGTAAAGAGAGAAAGGAAAGATACCTCATGACGAGTAAGTTTAATTTGTTCTTACTAAGTAATATTTAGCTTTTGTATTTCTACTTGATAAAAAACAGACTGAGCTGTAGTTGAGCACCACAGTAGTTGCAAGGGAAACCTAGAAAAAACTTTGGCAACACTGAATTTCTATTATCACTGTAGTACTAAGCAGGTATGCTTAGTACCTTTGTACCTTTGTTTTCATGATACGTATTTATGACATATATACTATACATATGGTTGTATTTTATAGGGCATCATATTTTATTTCACTCTTTCCTTGCTATTCCTGTAGATGAGGACTGCTATTTTTTAAAGTTCATAAAATAGATATATTTAGGTACGTGAACAAAAATGAAGACATTAGTAATGAGTATTTCTGTATCTTTAGGGCGGCAGGAAATGAGGAGCAGGTTCTCCAGCCGTGGATCCTGGTGAATCTGGCAGTGACCATTCTGGTTGGACTGTCTTGGCTTTTCTTGTCTTATAGGCCAGGCATGGATCTTAGCGAAGGTATTAAAGAACAAATAGTATAAGCATATCATGGAATCTTGTATAAATGATTTTAGAAATCTTTGTTGACTGTAGCTTATGATAATTGTGATAACAAAGAGATATTTAAAATAACATAAGAAGAGTGACAATAAAGTGGTGGAACAATACTAAGAGAAGCAGAGAGGAGTGTCTAGGGGGGCTGGGGTTTGGAAGTGCTGAATGAGGCCCTCTGTGGCCCTGGTGCATATTTAGGAAGTTTTTGGTTTTTTTTAACCCTTCAGGTGTTTTATAGAAAGTCTTTGCTCTTCATTTCTCCTACTCTCCTTACAATCAATGTATCTCTTTATTTTATTTTTATTGCAGTTTTATTAATATTATTTTATTAATATTACTTCAGTATTATTTTGTACTAGTTGCTGGCGTACAGCACAGTGGTCAGAGAGTCATACAAGGTCAAAATATCTCTTAATTTGAAATAAATCACGCTTCATCTAAGCAGCCTCTGTCAGATGCAAATTAAAGTGAATTATTCTGACCTCTTCCTCCACGTTGAACAAATTCTTAACCTTTCATTGTCTAATAAAGTGTCGAGTAACCTGACCTTCAGTGTGCCCCGTGGGAAGTGAGATTTACTCGTCTCTAGTTCTCAGACCCCGCTGGGACCCCTGGAGGAGAGGCGTCATATTGGCAAACTGCTGGTCCTTCAGCACTCATTTAGGTGTTTGTAGTGTAAGTTGTATTTCATTGGCAGATGTTCCACACTTTCACCCTTGAACCTCTGTGATACTTTCTGGACTTTGGTTATTATTACGTTCTTGATTGTTGAACATCCTGAGCATTTAGCTGCAATTTGATCAACTAATTACAAACTGTCTCAGAAGTGTTAGAATTGAGAACCTTCCCAACATTTCCATTTGTAAACACCAAGACAAAAAATGTAATCTTGTGTATTTTGATTGATGAATGTACCTTTTTGTATCGTCATTCTTTTTTTTTTTAAATTTTGTTTTATTGCTTAAGGTATTACAAAGAGTATTACATATGTCTCCTGTGTATCGTCATTCTTATGTGGCTTCAGTAAATATCCTGTTGCTTTATTTCTTTTGATATATGTAAAGTATTTTTTTAAATCTTCTAAGGGTTTATATATTTTCCTATTTTCTTTCAGTATAGTTTTTAAATCAGTAGATGAGTGGATAATGGAATACTAATCAGCCATAAAAAGGAAGAAACATTTACCCTATAAAACACATGGACCTGGAGAGCAGTATGCTAAGGGAAATAGCCCAGTCAGAGAAAGACAAGTACAATGTGATTTCACTCATATGTGGAATTTAATGAACAGACTCAGACTGACTTAACAAGCAAAACCAAGACAAACTCATAGATAGAGAGCAGGCAGACAGCTCTGGAGGGGGTGGGGTGGGGGTGCGGGAGCGGTGGTGGAGGGATTGAGCAAAGAAGAAAAAAGAGAAAAAACTCAGGGATACAGGTGGTAGAAGGGGAGAAGTGGAAGAGGATATGGGAGGGGGGGGTAAATGGTGATGGGAAAAAACCTCACTAATTTTTAATAGATGTTATAATTCAAATAAATTAATCTTTGAAGAAAAAAATATTTTTTTCATATAATACTTACATTGGAAGACTTTATTAGGTTCCTAAGGTTTCCTTTTTAAAATATTTTGTGTTATTTTAATAAACTACATTTATATGCTAAGTAATAGTTTAAGTGTAAAAATGTCAACTAATATCTTTCTATACTGTAGTTGGGATTGAAGTTACATCTAGCAAGCTTGTGCAGTATTCAGACTAAATAACAAAGTGTGTGTTACTTACTAAATATTTACAGAATCCCGCTCTCTCTTGGGGCCATGTAAATTATATAACATTTTTTCCATGTGGATAAAAAAAATCACTATAAAGTGGGGATGATAATACCTCACTTATAGGGTCATTATGGTAACTAAATGGAATAACACATTTAAGATATCCTGGCAAGCACCTCGTATTAGTTCCAGGTCCTTTCTCTGCATCTGTCCCCTGCATTTTAGGTTATCATGAGCACTTACAGAATTAGACATTTCAGCTGTTTAATGATCCTAGATTCCCCAGGTGACTTACATTTCCTGGGGAGCATTATTATATTATCTTCATTATAGATGTTTTATTTTTCAGGGGCTAGCAGTATATTTAAAACTTGGAAATTTTTATCTTTTTGGAAAATTTGAAATGCAAAACTTGTACCCTTGTCATTAGCTCGCCTTTTAAATCAGATTTCACTACCAAGCATTCTTATTTGTACTTGAGGGCTTTCTATTGTTTATATTATGTCAATACGTTAAAGGATTGTTTATAACTAAACTGAAAAACTTATTGAGGTGCTGGGAAACCATTTTGAGTATGTTCTGTTCATTTTCTCTTCCAGAGTTGATGTTCTCCTCTGAGATGGAAGAATTTCCTAATAAAGATAAAGGATAACGCCTCTTCCTAATGCCTCTCACCTTCAGAGGAATAACAGCCCAGTGTTTAGAATTCTTCCCATCCTTGTTTTTAAATGTATTTTTATAAGATATGCACAGGTGTATTTGGAATTGATTTTTTTGATTATGTAATACTGAAAAAATTCTCAAGATTATGGAAATTGTTAAAATTGTACCTGCGGTTTATACCCAAACATCATCAGTTTAATGACAAAGGAGGCCATAAGCTAGAAACAAGTAAGTGAAAGTGCTTATTTCCTGTTCTGTCGAATTAGTGGCTTTTATAATCATTATCTTAAAGAGCACGAGTAACTTTACTGTTACAAAAGCTATATCAGGTTTAAACATAAATTTAGGGAATAGGGAAGAAGGGAAATAAAGACCTTCATTATTTATTTTTGATCTCTCCTTACTGTGTTCATTGAAATATGAAATTTGTCTTTTTTTTAAAGTGACTTAGTGACTGTGTATCATGTAATAAGTATAATGTAATGTAATTTAGCTTGAAAGATGCTTGACTTCATGGCTAATAAAAAGAAAATATATCCTTTTTGTTTGAAAAGTTTTATAACTGAATAAGTTTACTTCTTTTTAAAACCCATATCCTTGGTTCCCAGAGCTGGTTGCACATCAGAATCATTTCGGAAGCTTTAAAAAATAATGTAGCAAAAAAAAAAAAATGTAGTCAGAGAGAAGCAGAGCAGGCCAAGAGCTCCGGGAAATGAAGGAGAGGCCAGTGAGCTGGCTGAGCTAACGCTCAGTTGACTTATGCAGAGCCCTTCCCGCTGCCTCTGTTTTTGTATGACGAGGAGAATGCGTGGAAATTCACTGAATCTATTCTCAGGCTCTTTGTCAGCGGGATCTTGGCTCTCGAAATCCCACTCGTGAGGTGTCCTTCACTGGAACAGGTCTCTTCAGAGCTGTGTCTGGTGGTGCCTCAACTGGTGTGAAACCCTGGAGCTCAAGGCAGTGATAAGGCTCAATGGGGCAAGGTGTCTCAAAGGCTCTGGGGCACATCGAGAGAACGAGTGGGCCAGCCCCACTTAGCAAACAGCTGGATGCTGTAGAACGGAAGAGGCTGGACCAATTGATGATAGAAATGCATGGCTCTGAGAATAGGTCTAAATTTGGTGTAAGCATCATAATAGGAGCGGCTTGCTGTCTGTGAGGCTGGAGTTGCTGAAAAGGGATCCCCCCTTTTCACAGAATTGTGAAGGTGCTGGCATCCTGCCAGTCCCAGCTTTCACTGTCAGCAAACTTCAGGGAAGCCACGCTCGTTTGAGCTGAGGCTCACCGCATCTGAACAATGTTATGAAGGATAAATACGAGAAAACCAATGTGGGGGATTGTGCCCTGCCTGGGAATCAAACTGGTGACCTCTTGGTTCCTGGGTCAACACTCAACCACTTGAAGCACATTGGCCGGGGTCTGTTTTTTCTTTGTTTGTTTGTTTGTTTATTAACAATTAATTGCAATAGTGTGAGTCCACTAATGAGCTATACCAATTGGTAACTTGGAGACAGCGGTTAATTCTGCATTTGGGGTATGTGTATGGGGTTTTATGGCTTAACTGAAAGCTGAACTTGGAGCTGGCCCTTGAATACAAGAAAAATAGATTCCAAATAGAATAGCAGTTAATAATGATTTTGGAGGCCCTCGGTTTTTGCATTAAATAATTCCAACTTAGCCCTAGCTGTTTGGCTCAGTGGATAGAGCATCAGCCTGTGGACTGAAGGGTCCCAGGTTCGATTTCTGTCAAGTGCACATGCCCAGGTTGCACGCTGATCCCCAGTGGGGGGAGGGGGGGAGTGCAGGAGGCAGTCAATAATTTTTCTCTCATCATTGATGTTTCTCTCTCTCCCTCTCTTTTCCTTTCTGATATCAATAAAATTTATATTTTAAAAAATCCAATTTATGGCCGATAAAGAAGTTCTGGCGTTTCTGGTTTTGTTTGTTTAAAAAGTAAACTGTATTTTTAAATTTTAAAGGTGAAATCGTGGAAAGGGTGGATGACAGGAGGCTGGGAGACCCATGAATAAACCATTGCAGTCATGGTTGTGTGCAATGCCCTACACTAGGTGCCATAAAGAGGAGTAGGGTTCAAATATTTGGGGTTAGAGTTCAAACATGTGTCTGACGTTTTTAGCGTTTGTGGGTGTAACATTGCTATGTTCAAATGGGTTTGGGACTGGAGGCCTGGGAGGGAAGGTGCATGTCCACGCGCTGTGCTGTCGGTGGGTCAGCTGAGTAAAGATGTCGGGCTAGCAGTCTGTGGGAAACAGCATCTGGAACTCGGGGAACAGTGTAAGGAAGTGGTGATGGACACTGTAAGCCTCCGGGAAGAACCGGCGCAGGGCTGAGGGCTTCCGGTGGGTTAAGGGGCAGACAAAACGCACTAAGGTGTCCGATATCCATCACGTGCTGGGGAGCCTGGCTGCCTCCCGCAAGGCCTGACTCCTCGTCCCGGACCTGGCATGGCCTGGGCAAGCGCTCCGAGCTGACCCTTCAGGCTCCCAAGGCTGCACCCCCAAAGCCAGCCCTGCAAGGAGCCGGCCTAGACGTGCGGTCGCACAGTGTTGTACGCGTGTGCAGTGCGCGAGCGTGTGCGTGAGCGTGTGCATGTGCGTGAACATGTGCATGAGCGTGAGCGAGTGTGTGAGCGTGTGCATGTGCGTGAACGTGTGCGTGAGCGTGAGCGAGTGCGTGAGCGTGAGCGAGTGCGTGAGCGTGTGCGAGTGTGTGAGCGTGTGCATGTGCGTGAACGTGTACATGTGCGTGAGCATGTGCATGAGCGTGTGCATGTGCGTGTGCGTGTACGTGGGAGGTTGGAGGGAGGGGCGGGAAGCGCGGGAAAAGCGGTGGGCGGGCTGCGCCTGCGCAGTCACGGGCAGGCGGTTAGGCAGACCCGCCCGGGAGGATGGACGGATGGGTTTCCCCCGCAGATGCCTGAGGTTTCCAGCGCGGCCGGTCACCACGCAGGCGGGCCCATTCCCTGCGCAGAGCCCCCGTCCTTCAGAGGAGTCCCCCCCGCAACTCCCGGGAAACTCGAGGCCCATCCGAGGATCGGCGTTTTCTCCAGGCCGTCCCTTCCAGGAGGAAGGCAAGACCATTGATCTGCCCAGGACCAGGCCGCGAGGGCCCCGGGCACCGGCAGCCCAACGTGAGTGTCCCCCAACCCCTACACCCCCACCCATTCCCCCGCCCCGGGGAGCCTGTCCCCTCCCCGGCCACCCGGAGGGCCAGGGACCGCAGAGAGGGAGGGAGGGAAGGTGGTGACCCCTGAGAACGAGTTATTTGTGCGCTCGTGGCACTCACTAACCTGCCAGAGCCTCGCCTATTGCCCGTTGGAGGAATACGGTGATCGCGCCCTGCCTGCAGGGTTGTCCCAACCACCGGAGGAGGGAAGGATATAAAGTGCTCACAGCGCAGAGCACAACTAGGGGCAGTGAATGTCAGCCTTGTCCTCGTTGGGATTTCATGTATGTGTTAGAGGGCCAGACTCCAGAAACTTCAGTTACCCTTGTTTTCAATTCCTGAGGTTCTTTTCTTTTTCCAAATAAATGTCTTAACATCATTTACTTAAAAAACAACACATAGCCCTAACCGGTTTGGCTCAGTGGATAGAGCGTCGGCCTGCGGACTCAAGGGTCCCAGGTTCGATGCTGGTCAAGGGCATGTACCCTGGTTGCGGGCACACCCCCAGTAGGGAGTGTGCAGGAGGCAGCTGATCGATGTCTCTCTCTCATCAATGTTTCTAACTCTCTATCCCTCTCTGTAAAATATCCATAAAATATATATTTTTAAAAAACACATATTGGCCCTTAGGACTGGAGATGTCACCTTTATACTATGTTGCCGTATGTATTTGGGTCGCCCCCCCCCCCGGACTTTCTATTCTATTCCACCACTCTCTTTATCAATTTCTGTATGTTACATCAATATAACTATATATATAAAAGCCTAAGCAACCAACCGACCAACCATTAGCTATGATGTGCACTGACCACTAGGGGGCAGATGCTCAATGCAGGAGCTGCTGAGCTGCAGTCTCTTGGCAGCAGCAGTTCTCAGGTGATGCACCCAGAACCAGAGAGGAGGGAGCCCGATTTCGGGGTGCGTCACCCGAGAACCGCCCTCTCGCAACCCGGGACCCCTCGGGGGATGGCAGAGAGCTGCTTCCAGCCAGATCCCAGTGGGCCAGACTGAGGGACCCCACCGGTGCACAAATCGGTGCACCAGGCCTCTAGTTGGTTTATAGTATGATATAGGTTTCAAGAGTATAATTCTATGATACATCATCTGTATATTGTATTGGATGCTCACCACCCTAAGTCAGATCTTCTTCCATCACCATATATTTGACCCCCTTAATCCTTCACTACCCTTCCCCCCTTCCCTCTAATAATCACCATACTGTTGTCTGAGTCTCTGAGTTTTTGTTTGCTTTCCTTATTTGTTCATTTGTTGCTTTCAGTTTTATATCCCACATATGAGTGAAATCATATGGTTCTTAACTTTTTCTGTCTATTTCACTTAGCATGATATCTCAAGATCCACCCGTGTTGTCACAAATGCCAATTTTTAAGTCATATATGTATATATGTGTGTGTGTGTGTGTGTACATATATATGTATTTATTTACTTATCTGTTTGTTAATCCTCACCCGAGGATATTTTTTCCACTGCTCTTTAGAGAGTGGAAGGGAGGGAGAGAAGGGGGAGGAGAAAGAAAGAAAGAGACCAATTGATTGCTTCCCTCATGTGCCCAACCAGGCTGGTGATTGATCTGCAACCCAAGTGTGTGCCCTTGACTGGAAATTGAACCCCAAGACCCTTGGTTGCATGGGCCAATGTTCTAACCACTTAGAAACACCACCAGGCTTAGTTATATTTTTAATAGGCAGTTTTTCCCTATTCCTCTTGCTTCTCCCCTCCATTCCCCCTTCTCCCTTTCTCTTTAAAAATGTCTTATAATTTTTAAGGCTAACCATTGTGTGTAGTGACTAGAACCCTTAGAACAAAGTTAAATACCAACCCACAAGTATCAGTTAGTGAAGTTACTCTGGAGAGAATCATAACTAAAACCCCCAAACCATTTGTTCACTGCTTCATCCCGTGTACTAACTATTCCAAGGATTAAATTCCAGTTTCTTCCATGGCTGATAACTGAAGGAATATTGGGATAATTTGCAAGTAGGATCTCTGCTCTTTGTCTGATACAGTACCTACTCCAGATTGAGACTGGAAGATTAAGACTGGAATGTGGTAACGATGGTCCTTTTAAGCTAAGAACTCATTGTTTTGACAGTGTACTTCTCTCCTTTGCTCTCTGCTAGCTTATTGATAAACTTGAGGGTGGGGATGAGTTTTCTAGTCATATTAATATCCCACTTCCTAATATAATACCTGATACTAGAGACTCACAAAATTGAATTGAAATAGCTTTTAGTTATATTCTTCTTTGCCTTCTAAAGTCTTAATTTATTTACATTGTAGATGCGGAGAAAAACTTTTACAGGGTCTGAAAGTAAAGAAGCAAAAGTAACACCTAAACCAGAAAACTTAGTGCCATTTGGGGATGTGGTATGTATGATTTAGTCCTTAGTAAACCCATATAAGTTATTTCTTATTTTACATTAAAACTAGTTAGTGTTTATTATTTGGTAATCAAAAGTATGCATAGAAAATGGTACTTTCTGATAACATACTCATTGATTTGTTTCATTTTTATGAGTCAGAACAGCATTCTAGTGATCACTGAAATTATGGAAAACATCCTGATTCAAAGAAAAAAAGTGTTTTTTATATTAGGGATTCCTAAAGTCAAGTTTTATAAGAATCATCTGGAATAATTTTTAAAAACATTGCTTCTCAGGCCCCACCTAAGACCTGCTAACTTAGAATTTGAGAATGGGGCCTAGAATCGGTATTTTATTTTTAATGGGGCCTAGAATTGGTATTGCTTCAGATGATTGTATTTATTGTCAGATTTAGTTACCTTTGAGCTACAGTTTAAAAATTGGCCCTTCACCTCTCTCATCCAAAAAATAATAAACCCCAGGGGGGAAAAAATCAAACACATACGCACAAACACCTAATATTTAGGCTGAGGAACAGAAAAATCTGTTTTCTGTTTTGGGTGCCACAGAGTATAGGACATGAGGATCTGTGTGCATTTAGAACTGCCAAACACTGTGGTATTCTTTTACAGTTGTCTTTTTTGTCTGAGCCTCATTAGAGTAGTTAATAGCTATGAAATAAAAGGTTCTCTTATCTCTCTTCTGTAGCTCCTATTATATATGAACTAAAGGCCCAGTGCATGAAATTTGTGCACAGGTAGGGTCCCTAGGCCTGGCCGGCAATCAGGGCTGATCTGTAGGGTGACTGGCAGGGTGATTGGGGGATGGGAGGCCTCCCACTGGCACCCGCCTTGGCTAGCCTGGGCCTCCAGGCTGGGGGCAGCTCCTGCATTGAGCGTCTGCCCCCCGGTGGTCAGTGTGCATCATAGCGATCAGTCGTTCCACTGGTTGTTCCACCATTTGGTCTATTTGCATGTAAGTTATTTATTATATAGGATACTAATACATTTTCTTGATTAAAAAACGTGATTAATTTAACATCACCTTTTTGGGGGGTAAATAGTAAGGTTATATTAATGTATACATTTTTGTTTTTATAAAATGACCATAGTGTGCATTTATCTGTATAATTATGTAACACTTTCTTCTATCACAAAGTTGGAGAATAAGCCTTCATTGTCTGAATCTAAATTTAGAAAAGATTCTTTGAAATCACTTTTGGCCATAAGCAATTATGCATGTCATTATGTTGACATAGTGATTTCCGTAATCCATACTCTTGAATATGACTTCTACATCTTTTTAGAACTGACATTTTGAAAACCATTCAGATCTCACTCACACTTTCTAACGTCATAGTTTGTATTTTCCTTATTTGAATTGCATGTTGCTGGACGTGAAAAGGCTTCTCTTAAAGGTCCACTGGAAGTTGTTGACAGAGATGTTTGGCACGTAGTTGGTAGCTCCTCCCAATGCATGATTTAGTCACGCCATTTCCTCTCTGAAAGTTCTGTGATTTGAGATATTTGGCAAGGTTTGCACATGTGTCAACAATGATAACAACATGACAGCCATTACCTCTGTTTCTGATAGTCACATCCCATTTTCAGAAAAAAAAATGTGAAAAGGCTATATCTTAAAGTTGGACACAAAGTGCTTTTGTGTTAAGGACCCAGGCGACAGTGTGGTGATGGCCGGAGGGAAGGGGGCTGGGTGGAGAGGGCAAAGTGGAGGAAATGGGGACATCCGGAATAGTGTCAACAATAACAAAAGAAACAAGAAAAAAAGTGCTTTTGTGAATAGCTTTCTGGTTGCTTTCCTGTTTTAAATGCATGTTTGAGAGTGTTTGGGGATGAAGATATTGAAGATATTGACATGTTTTGGGCCACAGGTGGGTCTCAGATTCTGTAGCAACATTTGTTATCTGCAGTCTGTGAATGGTCATTATTGTATTTTTGAGTGTTAAATCTGTTTTCTATATTATGTGGATCATTATGTTAAAGTATAAAGAGCTATTGAAACATAGGAAAGATGAAGGTAGCTACCCATGGCTTCATGTTGAGATACTTGGCAGGCCGCCAGTGATTTGCATTGTATAGAATTATACAATAAAAAATTATAGCTATACTTTCCTTTTTATCCTCCTTATGTACAACCCAATTTTAATAAGTAAACAATGATTCATAGAATCACCTATGTCAATACCAGTTTAAATCTCCCCTACATTATACAATGGACATTACCCCTCCTTTAAATTTGAAAACTTAGAATCTTTCCTTTACCATAATATTTTGTACCTATATTTCCTTAAAAAGTAGATCATAATATTTTTCTTTAGGATTTCATCATTCAGATACAGTATTCTTTTTGTTGTTAATCCTCACCTAAGGACATTTTTTTCATTTATTATTAGAGAAAGTAGAAGGGAAGGGGAGAGACAGAGAGAGAAATACCGATGTGAGAGAGACACATGGATGGGTTGCTCATGCCTCCTGCTCATGCCCCAACAGGCACCCGGGATGGAGCCTGCAACCAGGGTACGTGCGACTCTTCAGTCTGTGGGTTGATGCTGTAACCACTGAGGAGACTGGCCAGGGGAGATACAGTATTCTTTTAGTTAAATATTGGATGCTAATATCTTTTTCTGTATTGTTCTAAAGCCAATTACATTTAAAAATACTATTGGGCCATTTATATTGCTTCATAATGTTTAATATAATATTGCTGTTGCTTTTACTCTTTTTCTTTTTAAGCCAAACATGGCTAAATATATTTGGCTAATCCTGCATATTACTTTCAAGTGTTCCTATACTCATTTTGTATTTAATTTTAAGGTTAAACACAATAATTTTCTTCAACATTTAGAAACATTCTGTAAGAGAGAATGAATATTTCATAGCCCTTGACATATTATAGTTAATGAATGATTGTTGAATAAATAAGGTGGTTTTAGGATACTGAATAAAAAAGCTTATCTCAAGCAAGGCATATTTCTTATTATTATATGAAAGATGCTACTTTTTACCACTTATTACCTAATATAAAATAAAAATGATTCAGAGTGATGGTTGGATTTAAGTTGGTAATGAACCATTGTTTAGTTTTGTATTCTTGTTCATTTTAGGTTTATCTTAAACAAATCCTGCTTGTTTTTCTTCTCTGTTTCTGCTTTCTGGTGTTTTCCAATCACTAGAGATTTCTAGTGAGAAACAATATTTCAAATGAGAAAAACTAACAAAGTAGAGCTTTAAAAAATGTGTAGTTTGGTGTAGAGTAAATGGAAGAAAAGTTACTTTTAAAATGTATTCACTGTGTTTTTATTTTGATTGTTATAGGTTGGCTGTCTGGCTATTCATGTAAAGAACTGCAGACATTTTACACCTAAGAGTATCCTTTCTTTTAAAGAATCATGCTATGATCATATATCACTATTTCAGTTAGATATTACTACATTATAAGACACTGTAAGACTTACTGGCTTAGAATATTAACTATGTTATTATTAATCACTATATGTGCACTCACTGGGTGGTACTCCTGCTTCATTATCCCAGCTGAGGCTGCAATCACCTGGCAGGTCAGAAAAGCTGGAATATGTAAAATAACTCATTTATGAGTCTGGTGCTTTAGTGAAAATGCCTAGAAGATTGGCATTATTTTTTTCTCGATTCATTTTTATTTTATACTAGAGGCCCGGTGCACAAAAATTTGTGCACTCGGGGCGGGGGGGGGGGCCCTCAGCCTGGCCTGGGGCCTCTCGCAGTCTGGGACCCCTTGGGGGATGACCACCTGCTGGTTTAGGCCTGCTCCCC